TGACGCCTTTTTCAAGAAAATTCAAGTCACCTCTGGGAGGTGACTCAAAAATTGGTCTGGTTTGCCTTGGTCCGACAGCTGCCCTTCACTTTCAGAGCAGGATACGACAGGAACGCTAAACCACCAGTACTTCCTCGAGTCGTGCCCGTTAACACGCCACGATGTTAGGAAACGTACGGGCTACTACAGGAGCGACTAGAAACATAATTTCTGCTCTTTTTTTTCCCACGGCCGATAGCTGGGTCAGGTACGCGTGGTTTAAACCAAAAGTACTTCTTAGAGTTGTGCCCGTTAACGAGCCATGATTTTAGGAAACATACAGACTACTACAAGAGCGCCCAAATTCATCCGGCTAGAAACGTTTCTACTCTATTTTTTTCCGTGGCCGATAGTTGGGCCAAGTACTAGTTTAAAGCATTGACTTACCGTGAGGGCACGGGTGCGCAGCCCGTAGTTCGTTTGTTTATGTGGTTCAGGAAGGGTAAGGTAGTGAATATGTTGTATGTATGTTTTGTCATGTTCGCTATCCACAACTCGAAGAGAGTGTGTGTGCCTTATTCACAATGTTCATGGGACGCTGGACCCAGTTTCCAGTAGGTGGCACTCCCTATCAATAGACAGGAGAATGTATGTGCATGTGTATGTGAGTGTGTGTGTGTGTGGGGGGGTGTTCGTAACACCGCTATCCTACACAAAGTAGGAAACAAGATCGCAACTCAATGTAGCCCGTTAGCCATGTGTCAGCTAGCCAGAAGCTATGAAGTTCTCGTGATGCAGATATGGAGACTGGGTATGGGGATTAATAGGGTATGTGGGGGAGTAAGTGTTTAGGTAGGGAGCAACTAATTAGTGTAAGTAGGTTATAGATTAGGAAAGGGCAAAGGTCCGACCATAGGGGGGGTGCACGCGCTTAAGCGCGCTTTTCGCCGCCTAGCACCCATAGCAGCTCATCAGAGGGATTAGTATTGTTAGGGCTCCGGTTAGCTAGGGGTTAGGGGAGCAGGGGGATCTTCAAGGGTTTGGGGGAGCAAGGAGGGAATGGTTTTCCATACCTGAGGGGTCGTGGTTGGTGTCGTTGTAGGATCAGTCGCCGCCATAGCACTTGTCGTGTCCGTGCAACATAGTGTTACGTAGCTTGCAACGCAAGCTCAGCGAGAAGGGCACAATACTGTGTCACACCAGACTCAGGAGGATGAGTGTTTAGCAAGGATACGTGCCAGCAGGCGTGGGAGGAGCGAAGCAATGGTAGCGTCCCCAAGACACTTTTTAGGCAAGCACGCAAATGCAGGATCTTGCACAAGTTCGTCTGCCGGCTAGCGCTTCCGGAGGCAGATCCGTCACAGCTTTGCATAGATGCCATGGGTATGCGCTATATGTTAATATACAGTATACGCGAGGTATTTTTTGTAGCAGGAATCATCGTTCAAATTTAAAAAAAAAAAGAAGGGAATCCTAAAGTGAGTGTGTGTGTGTGTGTGTGTGTGTGTGTGTGTGTGTGTGTGTGTGTGTGTGTGTGTGTGTGTGTGTGTGTG